AGGGAGCGTGTTGGGTCGCGTTGGGTGGCATAGTTATTGTTTTTGGTGGAGGAGGATACTGCTTTTGGGGTTTCTGGGGATGCAGAGCCCTCCCTGCCATGGCACGGGGCAGCTTTGCCCCTCACAGGTGGAGATGAGTGCTGGGTATGGGCAGTGGGGATGGAGAAGCCTGCCCCTGGCTGCCTCTGCCAGCACCCTGCCCACCTGGCACCCCCAAATCCTCTTGCCAACCCCACTCCAGGGTGTCCCAAGGGGGCTGTGCTGCCCTGGGGGAGGTTTTCTCCTGGCTTCCCCCTCCTTCACCTCCTCACTGGATGGGGTCAGGACACCCGGGAGTGGGCAGAGGCCACAGCCATCCGCTAGGGTTTGCTCCCCCTGTGTCAGGGAGCAGCAGGGGTGATCCCCACAGCACTGGCGTTTGGGGGGGCTGCAGGCCCACCCCTCATGGCCAGCAGCTGGGCAGGAGCCCCTGAAACATACGGGTTTCCCTGGCATGGTGCTTTGGGGTCTGAGAGTGGGGTCTGCCTGGGAGAGGAGGCCCCAGCAAGCCCAGCCTGGCTCTCACAGCTTCCACCAGCCCTCCCCCAGGGGTGTGTGGGCTGGGGGTCCCCGGCCCGTTGCCCACCCCTCACCCCCAGCCTGCAATAAACACATGTCACCGTGGGGCCTGTGAGTGACTCGGTGCCATCAGGGGAGATGAGTGTGCCTGATTCTCCAGCATCACCTTGCTTAGGGGACAAGGACGGGGACACCGAGCCCAGGGTGTATGTCTGTCTGTCTGTCTGTCTGTCTGCCAGCACGGGCTCCAGACACTGGGGTGGGTGTTGTGGTGGATATGGGATTCCTGGGGGAGAGTGGAATTTGGGGGTCCTTCGGGGTGTGGATATAGGACTCGTGGGGGTGGAGGGAGTGAATTCTGACATCCCTGGGAGGGGCTGGGCGTAGGATACCCGAAGGAGGGCCGGATTTATGGGGTTACTTGGGTGCGGGGATGTTGGAATGTGGGATCCCGGGGGAGAGGGGCTAGATTTCGGACTCCTCGGGGTGTGGTGTGAGATCCCTGGGGAGAGGCGCTGGATTTTCGTGTCCGTGGGGCAGGGGGGTGGCTCTGGGATCCCCACGGCTGGCTGGGTTTCACACGGTGGGTGCTTTGGGGATGCCGCCCCCGCCCGAGGT